CTTTCTTGGCTTCTTCAACTGTTTCTTCTTTTGGCATTTGCAAGAGAAGTCCTCATCCCTGCCTCACCCCTACCCACCCCCTTCAGTACACACCCAAGGTGCTTTGAGGCCTCTCTCTTTCCTTCTCCTCCGGTGCCAAGCACTGAAAATGGGAAAAGAACTAAAAGAATCCTGTCTCTCCTAGAAAGGAGGTCTGCAACTTTTGCTCATGGCTGTTTCTAGCTGCTAAGGGTTTTGGAGACTTCCTTTTGCTCTTTCTTTAGGCCCATCTGAGAGGCTGTCTCTCTTCATGGCAGGTGTGGTGGGTTCACCTGCTTCGAGGTCATTTCCTGTGCACTCTGCTGCTCTCCTTCCGGGGCCCCCTGGCTGCTGAAAGACCTCAGGCCTCTAGCAACTTTCCTCTGCTTCCGCTCTCCTGGCGTGCCCAGGCATTGGGCAGTGAGCAGCCCCATAGCCTGTGTGTACAGGGGCCAGTCATTAAGTAGCCAGGTCTCTAGCTGTCTCCATCCTTGTTTGTCATAACTCTGCTATTTTGGTCTCTGTGACTTGTGGCTGTACCATGATTAGGGTTTGATTACGATCACCAAAGCGACTAAAAGATGAAACTAGAAGCCACAACAGGAAATAAACAACTGCAAGTGAGATATTTTATTCCACATTCCCCGCCAGCAAATGATGAAGATCAAACTCATTCACAATAGTTTGGTGAACTCCTAGACTTTTTTTTAATGATCAGAATAGTCTGAAACTGTGTACTCGTGGGTCTCAGTTGTGCCTGTGACAGGAAAGAAGGAACCTCCCTTTCTAGGCACACCAACCCAGCAGAGGTCCTCTACCACTGGCTGCTGGCTTCTTTCTTGGAAAGGAAGGGAGTAAGAATGTGATGCGGTGGGGCCTGCTGTCAGGAAGGTTGAGATGTTAACTGATTCAGGGGATGCCAGGGAGCCATAAAGCAGCACCAACCATTGCAGCTACTTGCCCTGCATCCCACCCACTTCTACCTAGGGTAGTAAAATGCAGGAGGAAAGCCACATAGAGAGGGCAAAATAGGGGTGACGCCTGAATTAAAACACCCACAATTACACTAGATGGGAACATAGCTCTGCAAGTATATGCACGTTTCATCCAGACAAGCTGTGACGTCAGACTCAACTCCTGAAACACCCACTAAACCTACCTGCCTTGTGTGTGCTTTGGCCTCTCATCACAAAGGGTGTTAGCACCACTGGCCAGCTTTCCAGAAGATTCTTCAGATTCTCCAAGAAGCTTAATTAGGATGACATTGCCTTTGTTTATTTAATCCTTTCTGTCTCTCTGTAGCCAGAACAGAGAGAGGGAAGGGGACCCCAAAAGGACAAGGCATTTGCACAGAAAGCCTGCTACCTGAGGATCACTGTAAGCACAGTTGTTTAACCAGTGGGTAACAAATCCCCAACCTGAGACTTCTAATCTGAGCTCTTCCCAAGCCTTTCTTTTTGGCAGTACTGGGAGTTGAACTCAGGGCACTGTGCTTGCTAAACAGGTGCTTTACTGCTTAAGCTATGCTGCAGCCCTCCCCAAGCCTTCCTAAGGTGGAAGAAAGTATTACACATTTCCCAGACACCCTGAAAGTCCTGTTTCTGTCTCCTGTGCCCTTCCTTGTCTATGGCCATCAGGATGTCCCTCTTTCCTTCCTGGGCTTTCTTGGCTGCTGTCTTCCCAGGTGGCTTTTTAAGAGTGTGCCCTTTTCAATAAGCAACATTTCAATTTATAACAAAATTATGATGTACAGTCAGGGCCCCTTGCCTAGTGAGGGTCACGTGGCCAATGCTGCTGATTTCCTTTCATTCATTACACCAAAAGTGATTTTGGTGGGCTTAGGGGAGTGGTCCAAATGGCCCAATTCTACTTCTGACTCCTATAATGTCCCTGTGTGTTGCTGGGGATTGAACCCGGGGTTTCCACTGAGCTCACTGCCTTGCACATGAGAGCACACCCTGAGCTACTCTCAGTCCTGTAAATATTTAAGCATCTATTTCATGTCAGAAATCTGGATTGCTGGGAAAGGGCTTAGGGCTTGAGCTATAAAGGCATTTGAGATTCATTCCGCCTTCTTTCAAGAACATATAATTTAGTTGGGAGATGTAAATAGTACATTTCTCCTTTCCCCAAGGTTTTTTTTTTTTTTCTTTTTCTTTCTTTTTTTTGGTACTGGGGTTTGAACTCAGGGCCTATACCTTAAGCCACTCCACCAGACCAGCCGTGTTTTTTGTGACGGGTTTTGCGAGATAGGGTCTCTTGAACTATTTGCTCTGGCTGGCTTGGAACCACGATCCTCCAGATTGCTGCCTCCTAAGTAGCTAGGATTTACAGGTGTGATTCACCGGCACTGGGCCCAAAGGTTCTTTAAAACCCCCAATGAGTTTCACTGCTGTCACAATTCTAAATGACTTTAAAAAAAATTGTATCTCAGTGACTAATATGTGAGATTAGATTACCATGCCAACTAGTGGCCTCGTTAATACTGATGCGTATGTAGTATTAAGATACTGTAGTAGGATTCTCAGGACCAGCTGCTTTCACGACTTAAACCCTGTCAGGTCCTTTGCTGGCCAAAGCCTTCCCCACTTCCACGCAATAGCCTCCAGCGGGGGTACCTTGCTCCGGATCCTGGCGTCAAGGGATAAACTCTTCGACCCTAACCACCTTGAAAGCCACTAGGTTTTCAAAGGCGCAGAAATAGACCTCCCATGCAAATGAATGCTCTAGGCAGGTCTGCTCGCCCTGTAACCTTCCCGCGTTGGGAGGCGGGGTGGCGGGTGGCTGAGGTCTTCCGGGCCCGGGAGGAAACCTGCCGGAGGCGCGCAGGCGAGCCCCCCCTACCTCCCCCACCCGCCCCCCCTTCTCCCGCCAGAATGCTGCCCCTCGCAGCTAGTCAGCCGGCCAAATGCATTCCAGAGCTGTGCACAAGACACGCTTCTCCAGGCAGTCCTAGAAACCGGAGCCCGAAGCGGGAGAGGGCGGGAGGAGCGCGCGGCCGCCGCTGAGGTCACATTCGCGCCGCCTCCTCGCCCTCGGCCACACGGCTGTTCCCTCCAGCGCACACTTCCTAGGGCCTCGGTCCAGTCCGGTGTAAATGTCTTTTAAACAGAGACAGCTCTCTCCTCCCCTTTCCCTACTGCGTGGCCAAGGGATCCGCCGCCAGGGCCTTTAAAGCAAAAGGAATGAATGAAGCGCTAGGAAGAGCGCGCGCGGGACGGCCACTGCGAGCTCGCTGGATCTAAATCCAGCCACCGACCAGCTCGTTCCGCTCCAAAACTCGCTGGCTTTTTCAATTTCTCCTCTGCTCGGGTCGGGGTCTCAGTCCATTCTGGGAGCTTCTCCCTTTTCCCGCCCCATTGATCCCCCTCTGCAGACCCAGGAAGAGGTGGCAGTGGCGGTGGCGGGGGGAGAAATAGCTTTTAGAAACCCGATCTGTTGTTTGCGAAACACAATCGCTTTTTTTTTTTTTTTTTTTTAAAGCGACAGGGTGTCTAGACGGCCACGTGACGAGGCCGGAGCCGGGCGCGCCACTGCGCAGTGGAACCAGCCGAGCAGAGGGCTGGGTGGGGGGGCGGGGAGGAGGCGGCGGCGGCGGCTAGGGGCGGGGGAGGGAAGGGGGAGGGAAGGGGGCGGAGGCGGGAGGCCTTGCGGGAGGCGGCTAGTCGCGGGCACATTTGCTTGCTGCTCGGCGCACGAAGGTTCCTGTCCCCGAGCTGCGCCAGCCTAGCCAGCCGGGCGCCGTGCTCGGTCCGCTCGCCGTGCCGGAGAGAGCTGCCTGAGACGGAGCCAGCCCGCCGGCGCCGAGTCGCCGAGCGCCCGGCTCCGAAACCCCTGAGTGCGGCGCGGCGAGCCTGCGGCGGCGGCGGCGGCAGAAGGACCCGAGCGCCAGGAGAGGGCGAACGGGGGACAAGGAGGCTCCCGGGCGCGACGCGGAGAGTCTCGGAGGAGGAGGCGGAGAGAGGACACCCGGGCCTCCTGCAGTCGGGTCGAGGCAAAAGCTCATGCGAGGAGCCCCGGCGGCCAGCCGCAGCCAGGGGAGGGGGCACGAGCGGCTCCCACACTAGCTAGCTAGCCGCTTGTGCCCAGAGGGGCGAGAGCGCGCGACCCGCCAGGGGCCCGCAGCCGCGCCGCCCTCCCCCGCGCTGTCAGCCCCGCCGGGCGCAGCCGCCGCCGCAGCATCTTCTGCCCCTGCGCCCCCGCCAGCGCGAGGAAGTCCCCGCCGAGGACCTGGGCTCCCGGGAGCGCAGGAGGAAAGACCAGAGACTCCTCTAAAACACCCAGATGCGCAGGATTGAAGCAGCCTACCCAGAGCTTTCTGTGGATTAAAAAAATACATTTTTTTTGAGCAGAAGAAAAGGAAAGGAAGACCAGCGGAGCTCTGCAAGAAAAAAAAGGGGGGGTGTGTAACTCGTGGATACGTTTTTCCACACGTCCAACATCTTGTTCTACTTTGTAAACATTTTCTTTTTTTTAAAACCCCGGCTCCAGCCGGACGCCCCCAGACCTCCGAGGTGCCAGGAGGTGTTTTTCATTTGGGGCTTTGCAAATTTGGCTTTTAGGTTTTGAGAGCGTCCTTATTCCACCAGACGTCTCATGCGGGGTGAAGTCCACTTGGCCCCCTCCCCTGAATCTTCGTGTGCTCGGAATTCGAGGAGATCCGGTTACTAAGGATATAGAGAAAAAAATAAATCGCGTGCCTGCCTTTTTTTTTTTTTTAATTGCCTGCTTCTCCCCACCCCCAAATTAAGTTGCTTAGCAAGGGGGAAAGAGGCTTTTTCCTTCTTCCAGCAGCCCAGCCGAAAGCCTTTCGTTTTTTGCCGCCGCGGATCTTCCATGTAGGAAGCCGAGGCTGGCGAGCCCGACACTCGGGAGCCACTGCAGGGGGCCCTCTTTTTGGGGAGGCGCCGACTGGGGCAGTCTCGACCGCCCCCAGGGAGGCGGCGGCCGCGTTCCTCCGGGGCGCGCCGGGGCCCGAGAGCCGCGCAGGGCGCGGGCCGCGCGGGGTGGGGCAGCCGGAGCGCAGGCCCCCGAGCCCCGGCGGGCGCCCCCGGGCCCCCGCGCGCGCCCCGGCCTCCGGGAGACTGGCGCATGCCACGGAGCGCCCCTCGGGCCGCCGTCGCTCCTGCCCGGGCCCCTGCTGTTGCTGCTGTCGCCTGCGCCTGCTGCCCCAACTCGGTACCCGACTTCTTCATGGTGTGCGGAGGTCATGTTCGCTCCTTAGCCGGCAAACGACTTTTCTCCTTGCCTCCTCGCCCCGCATGTTCAGGACCAAACGATCTGCGCTCGTCCGGCGTCTCTGGAGGAGCCGTGCGCCCGGCGGCGAGGACGAGGAGGAAGGCGCGGGGGGAGGCGGAGGCGAGCTGCGGGGAGAAGGGGCGACGGACGGCCGGGCGCATGGGGTTGGTGGCGGCGGCGTGGGCAGGGCTGGCTGCTGCCTGGGCAAGGCGGTCCGAGGTGCCAAAGGTCACCACCATCCCCACCCCCCAGCCGCGGGAGCCGGCGCGGCCGGGGGCGCCGAGGCGGATCTGAAGGCGCTCACGCACTCGGTGCTCAAGAAACTGAAGGAGCGGCAGCTGGAGCTGCTGCTCCAGGCCGTGGAGTCCCGCGGCGGTACGCGCACCGCGTGCCTCCTGCTGCCCGGCCGCCTGGACTGCAGGCTGGGCCCGGGGGCGCCCGCCAGCGCGCAGCCCGCGCAGCCGCCCTCATCCTACTCGCTCCCCCTCCTGCTGTGCAAAGTGTTCAGGTGGCCGGATCTCAGGCATTCCTCGGAAGTCAAGAGGCTGTGTTGCTGTGAATCTTACGGGAAGATCAACCCCGAGCTGGTGTGCTGCAACCCCCATCACCTTAGCCGACTCTGCGAACTAGGTAAGTTGTTCCATGCCCACCTTTCCTTTCCCTTGGCGGGGAAGTGCTAGAAGAAAAGCCCTTGCGGACTGTGTGTGGCGCCACCTCTCCAGGGGGGAGTGTACATTCCCTCCTGGAGGGGGCATGGGGGACTAGAGCAGAGAAGCGACAAGAGGAAACTCGAAGGGCATTCCTTGGGGGTTCCCTTCCAGGCTTTTCTCCTCCGTGGCCCGGAAGGGGGAGGGTTCCTGGACACTGCTCGTGCACGCACTGTACAGACATGCGGGTAAAAATTAGACGCCTTCGTTTCCGAATCAGCAAGGGCGTGCAGAGAAAAGTTGGGGGGGGTCATGCTTCCCCTCACTCGGAAAGGCGTTGAGGTGTGTGGCCGAGTTGGATTCGGTCCAAGCCCGCCAAGGAAGGCTAGGAGAAGCCAGCTATAAAAGCTGGAAAGTCTCCGCACCTTCAGTAAATAAGGAGAGACCCGTCGGGCACTAGTGGCTCAGATATGGCCCTGGCCTCTCAGCTGTGGAGTTTTGGAGCAGAGGGTTAGGATGGGAAGCCCCAGTGGGTATCTTCCCAGCTCTGCCAGCCTCAGGGTGAAAAGGAACAAACAGCCAGGAGAAGTTGGATACTCCCTGTTTTTTCCTTTCTTCCGCACAGAAAAACAGACAAGTAGTGGCTTTAGAGTGGTTGATCCTCAGCGCCTAAACTGCGCTGGGGCCTGGGTTTCATGGCTGCGACCCTGAGCGTCTACCTTTTTAATCCTCCTAGCTCCTCCATTCCGATCTCTGTTCTTGGCGTCTTTGTGCACCGGGTGTGTGTGCCCTGGCCCCCGCAGGTTCCCCAAGTTCACCAGCACACTTGGGGCGCGTCACCCTGGTGGGCTGGGAAAGGGGAGTCCCAAGTCCCGCGCCAAGAGTGCCAAGTGGAGCGGCGGGGGCGGAGGTGAATTGCACCCCTGGGGGCGGGGCGGGCCGGGCGGGGGAGGGGGGAGGAAGGGAGCAGGGTCTGGCGTTGTAGGACGCGATCGGGGGCCACAATCGCCCCCCCCCCACCCCCCGCCCTGTGAACTGTGAAGTGCGCGGCCCGGGCCGAGCCGGTGGTTTCCAGCCCGGCCCGCAGAGCGCGGCGGCGGCGGCGGCGGTGGCGGCGGCGGCCGCAGACGTGGAGGAGCGGAGCGCCGAGGCTGGCGCCAGGCGGCCTCTTTTGTTTATCTGACAGCTAAATATCAAGGCAATCACCGCCTCGCGGCCCTGCCTCCAACCCCCACAGCTAAGACAAACAGTTGGGCTAAAAGAATGCCTGTGTTATCATAAGTTTCTATCTCTCTTTGTCAAGGCCTGGTCTTTATATTCTCTTACTTTTTTAATTCTAGAGTCTCCCCCCCCTCCTTACTCCAGATACCCGATGGATTTTCTCAAACCAACTGGTGAGTAGTTGATTTTTTAAAGTTTCTTTCTTACGTTAGACCTGGAACCTCTAGAACCCAGGTTTTTAAGTCTAGGCAGCGACCTGGGGAGGTGCTAGACTGGCCCAAGTTGGTTGTAAGTTCCTTCTGTTAGAAGTTTGGATTTTTCTGTTGTAGCTGTTTTTGTTTTGTTTTCCCTTCTTTCAAAGTCATTTCCTCGATAGGCTTTACATTTTGTTCCTTTTTATGTATTTGCACTGTGACCAAACTTAGCTTTGACACATGGAGGCTGTAATCCATGCAGAAGTGTCTGAGGAGCCTAATAGGATTGGTTGGTGGGAAAATTCCGAGAGACTGTTGTGAGGGCCAGAGGAACCGGTGGGGAGGGAAGGTGAGATGGAAGGGAAGATGCAGAGGAAGCTTTGGTATGGAGTAAGGTGCCGGAACATTTGAGGCCCTCCTGTTCCAGTCATCTATAAATCTACCCTCTCTTGGAGTTTTCTCAGAATTCTTGGTAGGGACCATAAACGTTTGCAGCCCAGCTCTGCCTGCCTGTTGCTTTGTCACCAGATGGCATGGGGCCAGGGCAGAAGCCCATTTGAGACTGGCACCAGCCCTGTTGCGGTTGTCTGTATCCAACTTTGGCTGGCAGTACAGGGGCCCATCCTTTGGAGTTTGACTGTGCCAGGGGACAGGGTCAGCAAAACGGATTGGGGATGACAGAAGGAACAAGCCCCCATTTCCGGGAGCCCCTTTTTTCGGTGGGAGATCCATTTGCTTAAAAAGTACACATAGTAACTTCGGCTTTTGTGCTTGTATGCTAGTGCCTGCAAAAAAAAAGTAACACTTTTGACATTTTTATTTTGCCAAGGTTCTGGGAGAAGGAAAAGTGAAGGGTTGGGCACAGTTTAGCTCCTGGAATTCTACAAGTCCTTCCGCCTCATGAGTTGGCTGCTGGGCCTTTCCCCCCACTAATTAAAAGTTTTGCTGGGGCGTTGTCATAAATACTTTAATGAACGTGTAACTGAAGCCCATGCTCTGCAGCCAGCCCTCCCGGGACGCCACCAGCTCCCTCAGGTTGGGAAGGCGTTCCTGCTTGCCCCGTGCCTGGCTAATAAGTGGCCTGCAGAGCATGTGATATTTTGCTTTCGAATTACAAAACACCAGATAAATGGTCATTAATGAAGAGATAGCCAGCTCTCTGTGTTTGTAACAAATGTTAACTGGATTTACCAAGCTCTTGCCCTCCCCAAGAATGGGACTTGCCTGAATTTTTGGCTTAAAAAACCAAGAATTCTTTTATGAAGCTAGTTCTCCTAGGGTCACCTCTGTCCTGTTTTGGTTTTTCTTTCTGTATTCTTCAAATTTGGAGGTTAGCCTTAAAGAGAGAGAAGTCCTTATTGGTCTCGGAAAAAAGGTGGTAAATGTTCCCTCAAACCTCCAAAAACCATAGAAAAGAAGAGTCACATTCTCTTGGGTTTGCTGCAGAGATGCTGGGATAAATCTTCGCAGGATTTAAGCAGTCATTCTGGCAGGCCAGGGCCTCATTTTGGTGAGTGGAGTGATATATTTATTCATTAGCAAGTGTTGACATTAGGTAGCAAAATGTGTGTAAACAGAGAAGCCACAAAGACAGGAATGTGCCATTTCCAAGGGGGAGCAGTGGTCTCCAGATCAGCCAATAGGAAGTGATTAACCTGCCAATCGGAAACCGAAACAGCTGGTTACTCATCCCAATTTGTTTTGTTTAAAATAAAACAACAAAAAAGGGAGCAAAAACAAGCGTTATTGTGTAAGACCATGGGGGTGGTATCAGATGAAGCCCCTGAGAGAGAAATGGTCCCTGCAGGAGGCAGGGCAGCCAGGTCTGGGACTGGTTTTGCTGGCTGCTGTGGCCATGGGTGCTGCAAAGCTAGACATATAAGTGGGAGGGGTGCTACCCACCTAGTATATGGGAGAAGGTCCTGCTTGGGAAATTAACATCAGCCACTTCCATTGAAGAATTTAGGTTGAAGTTTTGGTTTTGGGTTTGGTGAAAGGCACATATGTTTTATAATGGGCAGTTGTAAAAATTGTAACCAGTTGCACAACAAAGGGACTCCCTTCTGTAAAATTGCCAGCTCCCTTGGGAAGGGGCAGTGGGAAGGGGGCTGGGATCTGGTACCCCTGAGTTGAGAAGCTTTTGGAGATCCCGGAGTGCTACAGGGGAGTGCCATTGTGATGGGGTTAGCCTCTGGGAGGTCACACTAGTTTCTGTGGGGTCCCAAACTAAGTTGTCCTGCAAGAGTGTTAGAGGCGCCTGAGCCCTGGGGCAAGGTGGCTGTGGTTTGTGGCTCTCAGAGGTTAGGAAGACACTCCACCTTTTCATCTCACACAGGGAAAAGATTCTGATATTTGCTGGTAGATTTCAGCTTGGGGAGTGGGGAAGTTGGGAAGATGGCTGTATGGGCTGTGCTTCCGGTGTGTGCTCCACTTCCTGTGTGCTACATGTGTGTTCATCTAGAAGGTTTCAAGAATATTTAGGCTGGAGATGAAGAGTGGGGAACTCTGTGGGGGGGACCCAGGTGACTACTGCCACAGCCTCCAAAACCTAACATAAGGTCTGGCATCTTGACCTGATCTGGCTCTGCTTTCACACCCTTCCATAGCTTAGGTCTCTTTTCACTTTACCATGTCAACTTTTTTTTTCCGTGGTGGTACTGGGGTTTGAACTCAGGACCTCCTCACCCTTGCTAGGCAGGTGTTCTACAATTTGAGCCACTCCTCCAGTCTTGTTTTGTGTTGGGTATTTTCGAGATAGGGTTTCAGAAACTATTTGCCCCGGGCTGGCTTTGAACTGAAATCCTCCTGATCTCCGCCTCCTGAGTAGCTAGGATTACAGGGATGAGCCACCAGGACTGGCTTTCAGGTCTCTTTTAAATCCAGGTGCTGAAAGAATTTGATTTGATCATCCATTTCTTCATTTGTTTATTGGTTCATGCATTCATTTGACAGATGGAGTGATATGCCTGCCTAAAAATTAGAGGGTTCCAGTGCAGTGCAGTGTTCTGAGTTGGGTGGACCACTTAGGGCAGAGCTGGGGTGTCCTGGGGGACTGGAGGTACTGACCCCAACAGTACTTAGGAAGCTCAGGACTAAGCTGGTGAGCCTGCCCTGGTTCATGGTGAGAGCAGTTGGTGGAACCTCAGCAGTCTATTCTGTTGACTGTTGGAACCTCCCTCTGTTGGAACCCTGGGAGAACAGGGGAGCCCCTAGCACTTAGTTGGTATGAGAGCCAGGATGGCCAGCGCTGCTGACTGTCCGCCAGCTTTGGCTTGGTGGAGGCACAGGTGGTTTGTGAGACCCTGACTTTGGGGATCTGTCTTTGTGGAGCTTCCTTGTTGGTGGAGGTCTGACCCTCGACCTTTGCAAGCCAAGCAGTAGCTTGAATCCAATCCAGATGCTCAGATCAACTTGGTCATCTCCAGAGAAGAGGGTTGGGATTCAGGGGCCTACCTGGGCAAAGAGGGCCCTGGGTTAAGGAGCTGGACTCTGGAGATAGCCTGGCTCACTGGGTGGCCCTTTGAGCTTGTCAGTGGCACCTCAGTTTACCTGGGTGCATGTATAACAGGTACACTCCCCTGTTCCGGCAGGGATGGTAGGGAGGCCTAATTAACGTGTGTTAAATCCCTCCTGAGATCAAAGGCACTGCAGAAAGGCAAAGCATATTTCATAAAAACGCTTGTGGTTGCAGCGTGGAGCTGGCTCACCTTTGATGTGAGACAGGCTGACACCCTGACTGGTCTCTGCTCTTCCCAGAGAGGCCAGGCTTTTCCTTTGAAACACACCTTGCTCCTGGCATTCAGCCAGACAGAGCTGGGGCGGGGGTGGGGGGGATGGGGAGTGGCCGTGGATAAGTCATGTTTAATGTGGGGTTTCTTCCGTTTGGGGGGCAGGGGGAGGAGGGGAATGAGAAGCCTGTCTCTAGAAAATGGTGTAGGCCAGCAGAGTAGTTTAGAAAGTGCAGGGCATCCACCCTTTAACAAGGAACGCTATTTCCTGCCTTCCCTATTGTTTTCCATTTGATTAAGTGTATCCTGTAAAGCTGTATATTCCTGTTCCGAATTGTCCTCTGCCCTGATGAAATGAGATTGCACACCGTCAGTCCTGTTCTCTATCTGCCACCACCACTCCTCTGCCTGCCCCTTCCTTGTTTGGGAGAAAGTTCTCTTGCTCTGTCTCTTTCTCTGGATGATGGAGAATGGAACCCAGGGCCTCATGCATGCTAGGCAAGTACTCTACCATTGAGCTATGAACCCCCAGCCCTGGAGAGTGCTGGAGAAGTTGTTTGCTTACCTGGGGAGAATTGGGGCACTGCTTTAGAGAACCTCAGCGTTAAAGGGAGAGAGCAGAATCCCTCCCTTTGTCAGGAATTGGAGGCAGCTACTGGGCTCCTCTGGGTTACTTGCCTCTGGGCTGCTGGAGTGTTGGAGAAGCTGGTTTGGCTAACTGTTCGCCAGTGTGGCCAAGGGACTCCAGTTGTAAACTGGGAAAAGTACACCCAGGGACATCCTGCTGGTGGCCTGGGATGGGATGACTGGAGTCCTTATGAACCAGTCTTGTCCATTTGCTGCAGAGCTGGGGAGCTCCATCCCCGAGCCATGCTTTCTACAGGGACTTGGCAGAAGTTTAGCATTGGCAGTGGTGCATGAGAAACTTACAGGGTTTGTGCGTTTGTGTTCCATGGGACTAATTACTTGTGGTTTCGTGGGCATTATTTTTTTGTTTTAATTGTCTGCTTGGAGAATGGTTGTAGGGTCTGTCTCTTTCTCAACTGGAATTGCCATTATCCTCATTAACACTGAGGTCACTGTGCTGAGCACCTGAGGGTGACAGAAAAGTAGAGAAGTCCCGTGAGAACAGACAGAATTTGTAGGTAAAAGACCAGTAAAGACGGCAGAAGGAAGTGGGGCCAGAAAGATTCTATAGGAACTGAGGGCAGATATTCTTGTAGCCTGGGATTGCCTAGGAAGGTTTCAAGAGATGGGGTGGTGTGGACCAGTCTGGAAGCAGGTAGAACATCCCCTGTGCCTCCGAAGCCTTGCTGAGAATTTTTTGCCTTGGTCTGCCGAGGCTCACACAGGTGCATCCATGAGCAAAATTCAGTGAGTTTACTCAAAATTTGTATACCTTGCTATATTTTACCCTCAAGAATGAGAAGTCTGTCTTTTCAAAGCCCAGGGGGAGGAGACCCTTATCTATGAGAACGACACCACTAGCAAGCAAACCAAGATGCTTTTGCCCTTGATATATACATGGAAAGATGGGGGAGAGGGAAGACAGAACAGGGTTGAGAAAGTTCACCCACATCTTCTTTGACCTTGGGAACCACCTGATCTCAATGGGGGACTTGTAATACTGGAGAAATTCCAGCCAGTCTGATTGAGCTTGACTTGGCTGATGATTAAGAAGCCTCCTGGAGCCCAGACGGGTGACAAGGTGCCATGGTCTGTCTTAGGATGGGCCGTGAAGCTGAACTAACCATTAATAATCAGGATAGTGTCTGCGAGTCAGCCTTTTGGAATGTGTGGTCTCTCTTCCTGGTGTTAGAATGTGTGTAAGAAGAGTCTTGGTGTTTTTATTTGTGTGTTTATTTCTTTCTTTCCCTCTTCGAATCCACAGCAGACTGTCCAGATGCTGTGCCTTCCTCTGCGGAGACAGGGGGAACGAATTATCTGGCCCCTGGGGGGCTTTCAGGTAAGATACTTTATTTTCTTGGCAATTCCAAGGTTTCTAGAAATTGCTGGAGACTGAGGGACTAGGGGTGGTCTTCTGCCACCCCAGCTGGTCTGGAATTCGTTTTTTATGTGTCTTAAACTGGATGCATCCAGGATGACTCTGGTGCCTTCCAGTTCATTGTCCGTTATGTGTCAGAGCCCCTGCCCGTAGCAGGGATGGGCAAACGAGTCAGGTGGGGGCTGGTTTTATGCAAAGAAGTGTTTCATGGTTATTTTAAGACTCTCCTCGTGTTCAAGCACATTTTTTCTTTTTCCTTTGTGCATGAGGTGTCTTGAAGGGAATGGGCCCACCTTCAGGGAACTTATAGAGGACAGATCCCAAGCACAGGCTGGGGTTCCGTGTGGATCTGGAAGCTTCCCTGCAAGTCCTGATTCCTCTTGCAGTTTGGTGTGAGATTTTGCAGTACTTGGCTGGAGGTGGGGATGCAGGATGGGGGCTACTGCACTAGGTGCTGTAGGGCAGGCTTTACCCAGCCCCACATGCAGAAAGGCCTAGAAAGCCTGTGCTGAGGGGTCTTGGGAATTGGAGGAGGTGCTTTGGGGAGAGCCTGCACATGATTGACCCAGAAGAGGGTGCTACTTAGAGAAACTCTTTAGCATCGCAAGTGACATGTATCTCTTTTTAAAGACATCCTATTTCTTCCTGTTTCTTCTACCCCATCATGTCAGCATCCCTCTTGCCCAAGAGGGAAAGTAACCTGGGATGGGGGGAATGGAAAGAAATTCCAACAGAGTTCTGGGCAGTTGGCATGTCTTATCTTTGGGCTGTTGGTGTAAGATCATAGTGTATTCTGTTTTATGAGGTGTTTCCTCTTTTGTGGGATGACTAATTGGTCAAGTGTTGCAGGTACAGTTCTTTCTGGACAGTTTGCTTCTGGGCTGTCTTCTTCCAGGAATTGAGCTTGCTGAGAATGTCTGTAGGGAGACCCTTGTTTGTTTTGGTTTCAGTGCAATATAGGCTCTGACTATTATCTGAGACAGAGGGCATTGTTTACTTAAAGCTTCTAATGAGAACTGAGCAGGAAAAGAGGGACCCCCTGAGGGGAGGGGGCTTGCGACCATAGCAGGACAACTGCATCTTTTTTGCTTTCTGAGCCTGAGTGACATGAGAGAGTTCCTGAAAGAGAGACCAGGAGAGGAAAGGGTCTGAGCAGAGAACACACTAAGAATGTTGTTAGATGGTTTTATTTTTTAAACTCTGGATGGGTGTACAGGGAGGAGTCCCAGCCCCCCCAAACCACATGAAATAAGCAAGGGAAGTGGTAGCTTTTGAAAGGGGCTTTTCGGAAGGTTTGTCTTACTGATAACATCTTGTCTGTCTCCTCTGCTGGAGGAAATGAGGACACCAGCCTGAGCCACCAGACCAAGTGCCTCCTCACCCTGCCTGGCCTGGCCCTGGGAGCCAAACAGTGACCCAAACAGCCCTTCTGAGATGGATGGGCTTTGTGCTCTCCAGAGCTCCCCTAGTTCTAGAAGGAAACTGGGGGTGAAACAGTCATTAACAACCTCACTCCCATAGATTAAGGAGCTGCTCAGAAGGAGTGGTGTCTCGGAAGGAATGGCATGGTTTAACAAAACTGCAAAAAGCAAAAAAAAAGAGGGGCCTCCACATGAAAGAGCATTTGTTTTGAGTTTTAGCTCTTGATTTACTAATTCCCAAGGCTTCAAAGTTGGAGCCCTTTCTTCTCTCCAGTCCGTGTTGGAGCTGTGTATTAATAGTGTGCTGTGGGGAGGGGGGATTGTAGAAACTACCTTTTGGGTGAATGCCAATGGTTTGGAGGTGTCTGGAGGAGAATTGATGGTCATGGAGAAAAGCTAGGGCTGCACTCTTTGTAGTGTGAACACCCCTCAAAAGATGATTGTGTGGGCCTGGGCAGACAGTTTATAAATGCAGGAAGCCTAGACCCCCCCCCCCTTTTCAAGAAGTTGGTGGTTCCATGGTGGGGTGGGGAGGTGGTTGGGTGTGTCTGCTGTGCAGAGGATAAGGCCCTGGAGGTGTAGGGATATTGAGGGGCTGGATACTCTAGGAAAGGGGTTAGCATCATGGACTTTGGGGTAGGGTGGGGAATAGGGCTCCAAGGTGGGTAGCAGTGAGAATGCCTGCAAGGGGTTTCTTCCTCCTCCCTCTTGAAATAACCTCTCTGAGTCTCTTTCACAGGCCCTGTGTGCTCTTTTCCTTCCTGTCCTGCCCTGGCTGAGAGCGGCCTTAATGAATGGGGCTCAGTTTAGGGTGGGAGGAAGGTCTGCAGCAGCAGCCAGGGCTTGATTCTCTTGGCAAGGGAAGAAGGGAAAGAGAAAACAGGCGAATGTGAAAATGTGGTGCCTCCGAGGTGGGGGTGGGGTGTGCTCAAAGGCCTGCCCCTCCTGAAATGCAGGGGTGACTCCAAGGCTGGCCCTTCCCTTTCCTGCGCCCTTGCAAAGGGCCAGCCAGAGAGGAAGGGGAGTGGGCGGGAGGAGCCCTGGGAGCAGGGCTGCTGGCTGCAGGTTGGAATTCCAGCCTTGCAGCTAAATGGTGGGGGATGAAGTGGGGGGAACGACAAGCCCTCTCCTTTGGGACTTGAAACGAAATGCACCCCACCCTTGCAAGTTTCCTCAGTCTGGGAAAATGGGACATTTTTAGAAGGCAGTGACTTGGTTTCATTTCTGACAGCCTGCTCTCTGAGACAGATGGATTGCTCTGTGCGAGCTTTGTGTGTGTGTGTGTGTGTGTGTGTGTGTGTGTGTGTGTGTGTGTGCAGACATACAGACAGACAATCCCGTGTTTAGACATGAGAGCATGTGGATGGATACCCATAGGCAGGCTCTGGGATAAGCTGGGGTCCTTGTCCCCTGGGGTGGGTGGACATCAGGGCAGCCTCCTTATGAGAGTGTGGCCTCGGGGGTTGGTATTTGTGGGTTGGTTCTGAACTGTGATTTGGCAGCCTGAGTTTAGCTCTGTGGGCACAGGCATCTTCTAAAAGGCATGCAAATCCAGATAAGGCTCTTACTGTTGTTTGGACAAGTATGTCATGGGCTCAGGAAGCTCCACCTTGGAGAGGGTCTGACATGCTGGGAAGCCTCTAGGTTCAGCTCCATGGGAGAAATGCTAAGGATTTGCTCCACTGTGTCTCTGAGAATGGAAGCGCGTGCTCTGAGCTGTCATCTTTGCAGTCTTCACCTGGAGCTTCTGGGGGCTTGCACTTAGCCTGTGTGCTGTCCTTGTTTGGGTGGTGGTGGGGGAGAAGCTAGCATCTCCCTTACTCCACATTACTCACCTGCTGGCCTGTCCTCCAGCCACCTCCTTCAAATATCAGTGGCTGGTGCTGACTGGGCCTCAGCCACACTGACTTCCCCAGGCAGTGCAGCATTGGAGGCTAGCAGTCATTTGTAGTTATTTAATTCAACAGCAGGATTCCCTTGGATTCCAGGGAGGGCGGTGGATGGCACTGGAGGCTGAAGTGTACTCACTTGTCTTGTGGGGGGGTGGGGGGGTTGAGGGAACCCCATCCTAAAGGTGGCCAACTCCTTTCCCAAGGTCCTGAAATCCAAGGATGGCTTTCTGTTCCCAGGTCTGGGGTGGGAGCATCCTGGAGTCACCACTTTAGGGAGGGGTCTGTCTCCTCTTTGATCCCTGCTGGCTTCTGCTCTGACATCTTAGGAGATCCTAGGATCCATCCTCGAAAATACCTGTATTATCTGAAAATACTGCCCTGGCTCAGTCCATGGGCGACTTGGGCTCAAAGCAAGGAGCTTAGGAAACATTGCTGGGTCTTGGTTTAAGGGAAGTTATTCAGCTGCATGTGAACAATTATTTATTGTCTGGCTTGGAACTGTGATAGTGAACTAGGATTCCTGGCATGGGTGTCTGTGTCCCTGTGTTCTTCGTGTCTCCTGTACCTGCCTGGGAACTAGTAGCCTCTGGTTTTGTTGAGGTCTCTAATGCCCTAATGCCCGTGGCGGTGGGGTGGGGATGAGGCACGCAGATGACTTACTTTCATGACTTTCGTGCAGGTGGCCAGCCACAGGCTTTGGGACAATCAGGGGGCCAACACAGTGACTCACCAGCTCCTTTCCCTCAGGTCACTGTGAGAAATGACAGTCTGGAACTCCAGGGACACAGTCTGCATCTCTCTAAACCCAGCCCTCCTGATGGCTTGGGGCTAGGGCGGGCTCACTTGATGCTGCACCGCACCCAGGTGTGGACCAGTCACAGACAGCAACCTGTCAGTTTGCTGGCTTCTGCAGTGCCTGAGGTCATGTGCCCGCCCCTGGAGAAGGACTCTTGATAAAACCCCTTTTGTCCTGGAAAGAATGAGGCAGTTAGGCAGGGGTTAAATGGTGTCTCTGAAGCAAATTTGGGCTGCTCCACTGGCCAGACTAGCTGGGCTGCTGCCTGAGCATCCTGTCCCCAGGCAGAACTGAGCGGGAGGCCTGGGGAAGGCCAGGCACCTGGTAGTGTGGCTTTGGCTACATTCTAGTGCACTGACTCCCCCTTTTCTTGGCAGAGCAGGCTCTGTACTATGACCGTGAACCTAGAGCACCTCCGTGGCAAGCCCAGAGCCAGTGGGCAGTGAAAAAGGAGGAAATGCCAAAGGATTCCTGATCAAGTTCAACTTCCTTTGCTTCTTACTGCTGTTACTGTTCTCTAATATTGCTTCTTGCAATGTTCAGTTTAGGCCTTGAACTTGGAGCAGCACCTTCAATATAGGTGTCTTAACCTGGCAGAATGAAAAAGGTGTAGGGCGCTGGTTGCTAGACTTCCTTGCACATTGGAATCCCTTGAGGTTGGGCCTCTTCTTACAGGAGATTTTTGCTTGGTGGTAGAAGCAGTGATCACTCATGTATCTTTCTCTGTGATGCTGTTGTGAGAGACACTGCAGAAGTGACCTATGGGACTGGGTTTCCATGGAACTAGACAGGTGGTGCAGTTCTGTGGATGGACTCTGTGTCACTGATGGTGTGTTTTATGCTATGTGTCTG